CTCCCTGTCTCATTTGCTGTTGTAGGTCATAAATATTCAAATAAGACCGTTTCATAACCTGTTAAAAACTCTTTGCAGGATTTTTAACAAAGTAGGATTCGCAGCATTATCTCTAGCTCCAGTACTTACACCATAAAAGCAACAAAAAGAACATAAACAATGAAAAGATATGAGACTGATAGAGTCATCCCTACAGATACACTCTCTGTGAGGCTAAAAAGGCTGAAACTAAAAATACCAATAAGAGTCATTCAAATCTTCCTGCTGTAACATGTACCTTACAGAGTCATGGATCAGTCCATAAAAATCTTTAAAAACATCAATTCTAAATAAATTTTAACCTTCTGCGTGTTTAGAAAATGAACCAAACAGTATCAGAATTAAATGTCAATAAAAGTTGATGTGATAAAAACAGATGTGCACTTGCTGCTGACAATTATATCATCTTTAATGGATGGACGATAGCATTCTTTTTACAATATCTATAATTATAAATACTCACACCTCTACGCTCAGGTCTTATTTTTATTGGACTAACCCTAAATGTTATAAATGTATTGTCTCTTGATAAGGCCTGTCAAAGGATTTCCTGGTCAGAGTTTTGAGCTAAATGTCAGTGTCAGTGTCACACAGTGTTTTCATGTTGATGGTGGTAATATATTTATGTTCAGCATATTCATTTAGCATGAAGGCTGTTTTACAGATAATTGGCCTTAATGCAAACTATTGGACAGATTCAAATTCTGACCTGATGGTGGTGCTGCAAGAAAAAATAAAGGGATCACTGAAGTTATTACAAATGACCAGCGGTGGATTTTTCTAAATCTGGGGCCATAAAAGGGTCAATTGTATGTTCAACATCGATGCACAGCTCCTGATGCAGTAAGGTGCACATTTAAGTAATTCTTTGTTTACTGTTTGCTCTATAGCTTTAAGCAAATCCACACATTATTAAATACATTTTGAAAATTGTTTCTTGTTCAAGCACGTTGTGTATAGTCATATAATTGTTAGTATTGTTCATTTTTTAAAGACTACTGACATGACAGGAGCACTTCGGGGTCAGTGCCCCCCTGGCCTCAACCCTTGATCCACCCCTGCTATTCATCCTCAGGGGAAATGAATGCTTTGGTACCAAATGTCACAGCGATCCAATAGCTGACTGACTTCAAGACTGACAATGATCCCATCCCAAGAAAATTATTAACAATAACATTGACAAACTCATTGAAATCTTCCTGCAGTATAAAATGTGCTTCTTAAAGACATGGATCTATAAAAAATGTTTGAAGACACAAAAAAATTGAATTGCTCTGACTGCCTTTTTTTTTAAGAAAATGAGCCAAAAAGTAATCAAATTAAATGTTGTGAGTAAGAAGGTGATGAGGTTAAAATGCCAAAGCAGTAAAAGTAGCTAACGCTGTTATTGCTCATGTCCATTAAACTGATTCCCTGCTGTAAAATAGATGCTGAGTCATGCTTACTTAGCAGGTTGTGTAACCATGTTATGCTGTTTGCAGGAGCTGTCGCTGAGGGTGACGGTGGCCGAGGCCACAGACGACGGTCGGGGGGAGAACCTTGGTCACGTGATCATCGGTCCAGAGGCCAGTGGGATGGGCATCACCCACTGGAACCAGATGCTGGCCACTCTGAGGAAACCTGTGTCCATGTGGCACCCACTGCGCAGGATCTAGTCCCGTCTGCCCTTGTTCACACCAGACCTGTTTCAAGATAAAACACTCGCTTCTTCATCGTCTCCCCCCTCATGTGGTGCCATGCTCAAATCTGTGTCAGGAGATTAGAGTTTATTCTGTGGCCCACAGGAGAGAACTGTGTGTGGCTTATGTCTCTGGTGGCGTTTTTTCTGATAGGTAAGAAGTTGAAGTAAACACCTTAAATTCATACGAGGGGAGGAATCTGAAAAGCAAGTGTTTGACCTTGAACTGGATGTACCTGGGTGCATATGGATCAATTATACATTTAAATCCAGTCTTTATTATTTGGCTTCATCCTGGCTCAGATGCACTGTGGCTGAGGGTGGTGTTTAACAGGGAGAAGTCAACCCAAACTAATCCTCCACTCCCTACATTAGTTAGTCACCCCTTTGGTTTGAGAGCTGACCTGATTCACCGATTCATTCTTAAATATGTCGATCAGAAATGTCAGTGTGGACTTTGATGCAAGTTCTAATTCAGAAAAAGGTGACCACCCCCATACCCCCTCCACCCTCCTCTCTGCATGGTGCCTACTCTGGTTGTAGCCTATTATAGTTGTCTAGAGAATGAACGGCCGGACGGGAGGGGGGGAGATTGCTTCTCTTTCAGGAAAACTCTCATTTGTCTTTTTTCAAACCAAGTCATCGATTGGGGCCCGCTCGATTGAGTCCGCTCTAATGGCTGTGGTTTATGTTAGTGTCAACCGTGAGGCCGACAAACAGTAGAGGTTTTTGGTATGTTCAGTATTTATTGTGCTTTTAAAAAACTGAAAATAAAAAAAATCAAATCCAGGTACTCTTATCCAGGTGAAATTATTGTAATTTGTAGCAGTTGTTACAGGGTGGCCAAATCAGATGTACTCAACATATAAATTTCACATCACATTTGTTCTATTTTTAACCACACTTATGGCAATACTAGTTGCAGAAGCATATTTGACAGTGTAAATAGTAAAACAGTCTTCATCATTGCCATTTTCTCCCCTAAATTCTGGGTGCAAATCATGTTTTTTCATACAATCACATTTCAATAAACTTCATTTACAAAACACTGTATTTAACACCAGATCAATGATGTATTATGTTTAAAACACCTCTGGGAATTTAACTTGTGATGTAAAGTATACTAACCCCTTTAAATGGGTTTACACTTTATTTAATGTTAGAGGAAACACCTTGATAGCTTTTGCTGTAAAACCACCTGCAAACTTCCTGTTAGTGGTGATTCCTCGGTGACACCAGAACTGGAGCCACTTTGCAGCTTTCAGTTAGAATGGTAATATTGATTAAAAGGTTGGTTTTTTGGTTAAAATTAAGATAATGTGACAAGTCTTGTAAAAAGTCAGAACATCAAGGTGGATTTTTATCTGTCTGAGATATTCTCTAAAACATTGTGCAATAGTGTTGTTTTGTTGTAACTCTCTGAATGTGAATTATCATGTGGAATACCTGCTAACTCTTAAAGCATCGTCAGCCTCATGCATAGTTTCGATTTTTTCTTCCAGCAGAACCCACTTCACATTTTTTGGTCGAGTTCTGACCACGTTCCTCACTGTTCAAAAACAACACACCTGTGATCATAGAACAGACAATATTTCCTATTGTGCCAAATAATAAAGCAATATTTTCATTTTACAATCTGCATTTGCATTCAACCCAACAGAGCTGTAGCCTACATCCGACCATGCATGAAATTATTTAGCACTTGATGTGAATGTGCCTCAAGAATTCAGTGTATTGTGTGAATGCTGTTTGAAATAAAAGCAGTTCAGCCGTAACACTTGTTTATCTTTATTGGGTTTTGAGAGGGGGCAATAAGAAAGATGTATCACTCTGTCCTCTGCACCACAGAAGTCATCTCAAAGAATCATTATAGAGAACACAATTTGTTCTTATATACCATATAACACTATTGTTATATATTTTTTAAATATCATCTGTGAAATACAGTATATGCAAGTATAATTTCAAGCATATAAAGTGTCACCTTGATTTCAAATTTGTGGAAAATAGAAATTTGGTAAAATGTTTAGACAATTGGTAGCTCTAAATTACAGATTGGAATACACGTAAAAATAATATCTCTTTTCTAAATTGTTACCAACCTTTGTAGTCAGTAAGTGGCTCTCTACTGTATAAATTACCAAGGTATCTGCAGGTAAATGAGTTCATCTCTACCGTAGCTTTCATGCTAATCAACACGTCAGATGAGCAGAATTTACCACCGTCCTATCAGGTAAATAAATGATTGGACATATGATGATAATAAGCTGCGGTTGAAAGAGCCACATCAGGGAACAACGGGACTCTGGGCGGTGCTCCAGGCAGAATCCCCTGGAGGTGTGTAGGGTGGAGGAATGCATTACCTGTGAAGAAATAAGACACTGCTGAGGCCTGTAACAACCTCAATGTTGTAGATACTGTTACAGAACAGTGAAATAGGGTGATTGTAATCAAATATAATCATGTTGTTCCCTTTTTTCTTTCCACCACTTACTTTTGGTACTTCCAGACTCAAGGCTAGATTAGCAACCAGGTAAAGCAGGCAAATGCTCGGGAGCTCCAGACCACCTGGACCCCCAGCAGCCCCCAGCAGCCCCCAGCTTAATTTATAACAACAAAAATTTGCATACAATGTATAATTCAACGCAAATGTGTTTTAGAAATTTGCATCAGTTAATATAAACTATAACTGGTTTTCCATCTTTTGTCATCAAAATCTACCTTTAAGATTCAAGATCTTTTGTATTGAACAGTTTTTGTAAAGTTGCTGTAAAGTTTTATTAATTTGCATCATTTGTAAATATTCAATTAATCAACACACAAATAACTGGTCAAGGTCATACATAGGCTGCAACCAATGAATATTACCATCAACAATACATCTCAAAAGTTTTTCTACAATCAATTGATTGTGTAAATGTGTAAAATGTATTTATTAATTTATTAAAAATGAATATGTCAAACTCTCTTTCTCTTCCTCTCTCTCTCTCTCTCTCTACCTCTATCTCTCTTTGACTGTCTCTTCCCCTCTCTCTCTCTCTTCCTCTCTCTCTCTTCCTCTCTCTCTCTTTGTCTCTCTCTCCCTCTCTCTTTGACTGTCTCTTCCTCTCTCTCTCTNCTCTCTCTCTCTTTGTCTCTCTCTCCCTCTCTCTTTGACTGTCTCTTCCTCTCTCTCTCTTTGTCTCTCTTCCTCTCTCTCACTCTCTCTTCCTCTATCTCTCTTTCTCCTCTCGTCTCAAAAAGAGGTCGACTTGCCCCTCTCAGCCAATCAGAGCAGAGGGGCGCCAGTATGAGGGCGGGGCCACATGGAGCACGATAAGGTTGTTGTCTGCTTCTCTGTTAGCTTTAAGACTCAGTGTTTGGCTGTAACGTCCTGTGGCGCTGACCTGTCGACATGGCGGACAACAGAGAGAAAACCACGGACCAGATGAAGCAGTGGCAGCAGAGCAGAGGCGCCCAGGTCTGTATCCACCCCGGGTTTGACGAGGAGCTGTGGCCGCGCAGCGCTGCCTCTCTCCGGAGCACTGGGGGGGGTCGTTTAGGGTGAAGCAGCTAACAGCCAGAACCTGCAGCTAGCTTGTTTTCAGAGCACCAGCTAACCTGTAAATAGCTGTTTGCTAACGTTACGGGCTAAATGAACATGCTATATAAACACACGACTAACCATTTTTAATTAATAAACACACAAACAGCGAGAATGACCCGAGGCTGAGTGTGTAGAAGATATGAAGTGGGTCATTGTGCAGCAGCTGAACTTCGACCCTGTTTGTTATATAAGCACAGCTCTGCACAGAAAACCTGGAAACCCCACTTAGTAAAGCCACCTAACCACTGTTTGATTATTTACTACTCTGTTATTGTTGTGATAATACTCGAGTACACAGTGCACAGCCCCATTTTGTTTTAGTTTCAAAAGCGATTAAAACAACTCGATTACAACAAATCTTCTTTGCAAACTTATTGTCTCTGCAGTACGACTGAAGGAATTGGATAAGTTCCCTGACTGAATATCAAGTGCAACTGTTTCATTAATTCCTCAGTTGATTCATCAAGATGCTTCATAAGAAATATGTTCTAGTTCCAGCTTGTCACATGTGAATCTGTCATTTGTGTTTTGTTGTAGCTAAATGTACAAATCTGTGGGTTTTTACTTCGCAAAAACAAGATCTGACATTTTCTATTTTGGTGACATTTTAGACTTACCCAAATTTATCTGAAAATAATCAACATAATTCTCATTAATACAATAAGTATTATTCTTTGCTATTACTTTGACATAATGACTTGCTTGCAGCATGACTTGAAATGTAGATTGTCATACATGTCATGTAACTCATCAAACATGTGCATCTTTGGTAAATGAATGTGTTTGTTTTCAGAGGCCAGACACACTGACCACAGGAGCTGGTCATCCTGTTGGAGACAAGCTGAACCTGCTGACTGCAGGACCTAGGGGCCCCCTGCTGGTCCAAGATGTGGTCTTCACTGATGAGATGGCGCACTTTGACAGGGAGCGAATCCCAGAGAGAGTGGTGCACGCCAAAGGTGCAGGTGAGTGTTGAACCAAGATCAGTTACTACCATGCAGCCTGCTCTGTGTCATATCTGTGGTTGGTTGACATTGCACAATAAAGGAACTGCTGTGGCATTTTGGATTTTCTCTTCCAGGATAAGTAAACATGAGCATACAGGCTAATGTAAATAACAATGCACAGTATTGAGAGGCCAAACAGTGTAAAAGGTTGAGAACTAGAGTCACTTGATATAAGTACTGACATAATACTTTTACTTAAACTGACACTAAATCAATATATTTTCCAATGTCTTATATTAAACAACAAAAAAAGATTATTATGAATATAATAATTAATATTGCTATTACTATGTAGGTAAGGCATAATAAACTGTAGACTGTAATTGTTGCTTATCTTTAATCAAACAAAAGAACCCAAACGTGTCCATTTTTTGGGTTAGGGTTGAACAAACTGCAGCCTTACAAGATCATGCTAAAATTGTTCAATAGATTCGAAAACATTCACTGTAGAATAAGTCAACAAGAACACAAATCTAACCACAATTAAAGCCAACTTTCAGTGTTCACTACAGACTGGTTTTGATAAACAGTGCTTTGGACACATTTCTGGGTCCTATTTTGTGTGGTAAGGTAATCTTTGTGGTACAAAATAATGAAATCTTACTGTATGTCACATGATTTAAAACATAGAGTTGACATGATACAACTAGACATTACTATCACTGTCTTGTTTTGTCCAGCTCCTGATATTAGAAAAAGCTGAAACCCTACATGTTCACACTGTTATATGAAATTACACTGATGCAACAACATTAACCTGCCAAAATCAACAGAACTAACTGAACATAAAGTACTTTAGAACTTTGTGGATTAGCTCCAGTCAAATTCTAATCTCTTCAAGCTTTTTCAGATCAAGGTCACTCACAGGGAGGATATTGAACTCATTATTTTGTTGTTGTTTTCTTAATAAAACACCCAAGTCTGAGAAGTCGGCCACAAGTATTTGACACCAGACATGACTTGGCAGATAAAGACATGTCTTTTGTTTTTCCTCCATGATGCAGGAGCGTTTGGTTACTTTGAAGTGACTCATGACATTACCCGCTACTCCAAGGCCAAGGTGTTTGAGCATGTCGGCAAGACGACACCTGTCGCTATTCGCTTTTCCACTGTTGGTAAGAATAACCTTCATTGAGTTTAAGCATGATTCATTGTTAAGTCATTGTTTATTGGGAGTTACATTTCCCTCTAAAAAAATTGAGAAACACATATTTAGTATTCTGTTTAAAGATAGGATGATTTTATTTCCTCAAATATCTCTAGCTTCCTTTAAAATCCCTTCTTAAAACCTTTCTCTTTTTGGAAGATATGGAGAATGTTTGATTTATTTATATTGCGTTTAATACTTTTATTTTTGTTCTAGTAATTTATACTGTTTAAAAATGCCCTTTTAGTCAACTGCCATGTCTGGTTTTGTTGTTAAGCACTTTGTAACATTTTTGGGAAAATTGCTATATAATTGAGTTTATTATCTTATCATTACTATTACTATTAATGTATGCTGCAAACATAGAACTATTTCTTTCTCATTGTAGAAGTGGATTGGAAAATGCTACTCTCAGTTGGATTTTGCTTATTTCAGTGTTGCATTATTGTATTGTATTGGTTGTATAAAACTGGCACCACACTGGTGATCTCTGAGTTTAAAGGCGCATGATGACATGCTCACTTAGAGTTACTGTTGTAAGGTTAATTCGGAAAAATAAGCTCTCCATTCTTACATGCATTTCTGTTGACTGGTTCCAGAGAGGTTGTGTATGTATGGGAACAGTGTGGAACTGAAGGGAAAAGATGAGAGGAGAAGGGTGTGCGACATTGTGAGCCTGGAGGCTGTATGAAGCATTGAGATGTAGAAAGTAGGTTATTTTAAGTGTAAACAAATGGTTAACTGCGTAAAGGTTCATGTATACACAGGGAGTGCGCACACTCACACACACACACACACACACACACACACTCTCTCTCCTCAGCTGCCTTCACCTAGTCACCTCTCTATTTTCTTTGTTTTGTTTTAGCTGGGGAGACAGGATCAGCAGATACAGTGCGAGACCCCCGAGGCTTTGCTGTCAAGTTTTACACTGAGGAGGGCAACTGGGACCTGACAGGCAACAACACCCCAATTTTCTTCATCAGGGACGCCCTGCTGGTGAGTGGGTGGAGGGGATGTAGGAGCCAGAAAATCGTTTGCTCTCATTCAATAGTTGAGGGGCACAATGTCACAGAACAACACTGTAGTTTTCTCTCAAAAATGCGTATTTTTATCATTTTGAAAAAAAGTATTTCAACTAAACCTGTAATCCCATCATGTTACCTTGTGCCTTTTACCACTTACAGTTCCCGTCCTTCATCCACTCCCAGAAGCGCAACCCCCAAACCCACATGAAAGACCCTGACATGGTGTGGGACTTCTGGAGCCTGAGGCCTGAGAGTCTGCATCAGGTAGCTGCTTTCTGAGCATGACACTGTTCTTGAAGACAACAATGGAATACATATGACATTATCTCGTCCTCTGTCCAGGTGACTTTCCTGTTCAGTGATCGAGGTTTGCCCGATGGCTATCGCCACATGAACGGCTACGGCTCTCACACCTTCAAACTGGTCAATGCTGATGGAGAGCGTTTCTACTGCAAGTTCCACTTCAAGGTCAGTTTGAGCCCAGGTGAACTTTATATAGATTCTGCCTCCTGACATTATCATTGGTAACTTATGTTACATGTCATGTTTTTTAGACTGATCAAGGAATTAAGAATATGTTGGTAGAGGAGGCAGAGCGCCTGGCATCCACCAACCCAGATTATGCTATTGGAGACCTGTTTAATGCCATTGCCAATGGAAACTTCCCATCCTGGACCTTCTACATCCAGGTCATGACCTTTGAGCAGGCTGAGAAGTTCCAGTTCAATCCGTTCGATCTTACAAAGGTACAACGTCCCTCCACAGCGCAGACTTTAATGTGTTTCTTTCGTGCAACCATTGACCAGGGTTGCTGCAGTAAATGGTATTATCAGTGTTACAAGTTGTCAAAATTTTGCTTACATGACAAATACTTCCCTGGGTGTGTCACTTTGGCATTTTCTGGCTAATGGTGGGTTCTCATTCAGGTTTGGTCGCATAAAGAGTACCCCTTGATCCCCGTGGGCAAAATGGTTCTCAACAGGAACCCGGTCAACTACTTTGCAGAGGTGGAGCAGCTGGCCTTCGACCCCAGTAACATGCCGCCAGGCATTGAAGCGAGCCCCGACAAGATGCTGCAGGTAACGCCACGACCCGCGTCCTCTCTTCTCAGACTGGTCTAAAAAAGTAAAAAATAAAAATAGTCTACAAAACTATAGTTTGCTGCCATTATATTACCAAAGTATTTAGTCCTAGCATAAATCTACAGTAGCCCTGAAGTGCAAAACACAGCAGCAAACACAAAAAAACTATGTAACTTCCAATGGAAAAGGTTTGGAGCTGATTGGACGGATGCACTGTCTATCTTTTTAAAATGAACGAAATGCTGACAAAATAAGTTTTTTCTCATTTGATGACAAACAAATTCTTTAAGTATAAATATTTGCTACTGTTCTTTATATGTTTCAACAAGGACGAAATATTTACCATCTTTTGTAAAACATATCCGGTCAGTATATGTCACATCCTAACAACGCTTGGTCATAGAGAACACTTTTTTTTTTGGTCACAAAAGAAATTCCTTTTTCAAACTATATGTGTGTCTTTCCACTTATGCAGCAATTTCTCCATTTTCAAATGTCTTCAGTCTCTCTATGAAAACTGACGCCATCTAGTGTGGCAGTTTGGAACAACTATGAACACTTATAGTTCTGACAGACCATAAACCAGCAACTGTTTGTTTGGACAGCACAGAGACCTACAGTAAAACACTGCTTTGTCTTCTCCCATACCTGTTTCCAGGGTCGTCTCTTCTCTTACCCAGACACACACCGACATCGGCTGGGAGCCAACTACCTGCAGATCCCCGTCAACTGCCCCTTCAGGGCCCGTGTGTCCAACTACCAGCGTGATGGTCCAATGTGTATGTTTGACAACCAAGGTAAGTCCCACGTGTATTTTTTTTGTACAATAACAATAATTATGAGAATGGACAAATGTGTTTACCTATATGGGTGATTGGAGTCTTCAAAGGTTTTGGTGAAATAATATGTCAGCTATTTTTTTTAGATTAAGTCACAGTCTTAGTCCTGAATAAGTCCCGATTCATTTTCATAATATTTGCTCAACTGTCACTCTTTATTTAGACATTTCAAACTGCTGGCCAACAGACTTAGTTCAAGGCCAAAGTCAATTTCTACATTATATCGTATGCTGTGCATTTTAATAACCACTGTCGTCCAAACTGGACAAACTAAACACATTTTGAGTTTTCACGACAACTTAAGTTCACCACAGATTCTTTCATGTTTGGAAGGGGAGAGTGAGATGAGGAGTATTCAGCTGCAACATGACACTTCACCCCTAGATGTCACTAAATTCTCCACACTTAACCTTTAACTGTCACACACCATTCCTGAAATATGTAGGGATGTCGTGATACCAAACATTGAGTAGTCGATACCGATACCATGACATAACCACGATTCATGATACCCAATTAGATACCACGGCAAAAAACAAAACAATAAATCACACAGGCCTCTCAAATCATTTTTTGTCTTCAGTACTTGGCAGTGTTCGACCCTCTGCAACCCTTTTTTACCTCCACCTAACTCACTGATGCCTGGTCTGTCTGGCCTCTAGGTGGTGCTCCAAACTACTATCCCAACAGCTTCAGTGCCCCAGAGACCCAGCCTTGCTGTGTGGAGTCCAAGTTCAAGGTGTCTCCAGATGTGGCCCGTTACAACAGTGCTGACGAAGATAATGTTACACAGGTAAATATACTGTCACAATTGTATGGGCATGTCTTCTGTGGCCAATCCATTTGAGCACACGAGTTAAATCAGTGAGTGTTCTTGATTTAAGTATTACATACACGGTTAGTTGAAATAGAGCCACAGATCATGTTTAGGTTTATACATTTCTATTCCTGTATAAAGTGCACTCAAATAATAAATAATACACATACAATTTTATGTGATCCTCTTCCATCAGCTTCTGAGAGTGTCTTTGTGTTTTTATTTCAGGTTCGAACCTTCTACACCCAGGTGCTGAATGAAGAGGAGCGTCAGAGACTTTGCCAGAACATGGCCGGGGCCCTGAAGGGAGCCCAGCTCTTCATCCAGAATCGCATGGTGAGTGCATCAAATGTTGTGACCACAATCTGTCTCACCTATTAAAAAAAAAGTCTTATTTTTGTTTTGCTGAGCACCAATAACAATTTTCAGGGCCTTTTTTAAAGTGTCATGGTCTGGTTCTTCCTGCAGGTGGAGAACTTGAAGGCCGTCCATCCAGACTATGGAAACAGGGTTCAGACTCTTCTCAACAAGCACAATGCAGAGGCTAAGAAGGTAAACAGAGTTTTTTAATTCACTGTTAAGTTAAACTCAATTACTGTCTCTGTTTGTCCAGTCACCACTTTGGTTTGAAAGGGAATCTTGACGAGTAGCTGAAGAATTGTCTTAAAACAGTTATTCGTGATCCCAGAGAATGAATCTTGTTAGTTAGTATTTAGTTCAGATCAGCACTGAGCAGAGTGCAGCTTCACTGAGTCGCTAATCTCCCTGTTAACTCGTGACATTAAGTTTTTCTTAATGCTGGTGAAAGCATTGGATGCAGGTTATTATGATTTTACAATTTTTAAACATCTCCAAATATGTAATTATGAAATATTCTCTTTAGTAATACTATGTGAACATAAGTGAAGCCATTCAAGACTTATTTGAACATTGCAGATCATTTTAGAAATAGAATTCGATTTTGCCTCATTTACAGAAAGAGGCAAACTGAGGAAACTGGGCACATTGCCTTTTTTGAGTTTTGTCATTACACCAGTTCATCGTTGTCATCCACTGCATATTCTGTACATTAAAATGATAGAAACATTTCTTTCTTTTCCTCTTTGTCTTCCTCAGAACTCAACTGTGCATGTTTACAGCCGTCCAGGTGCCTCCGCTATCGCTGCCTCCTCCAAGATGTAATGCCTTCAATTTCTGTCAGAGAATCAGCCCCAACTTATTTCTGTCTGAGATCAAATGCACTTGTGTGATTGTGAACAGCTTTTACCAGTAACAAGATGATATATTACTTAAGAAGATTGAAATACTTACCTTGCATTGGCAGGGTTGTGTGATTTTCTTCAACATTCTCAAAGATGGCAATATTCAAGAGGCTCATGACTTTTTAAATAAAACATAGATCATAGTGTGTTTATACCACTTAACATCTGCTACATAAAGCCTTGAAAATTATTTTAAAATACAGGCTTTTATTTGTGTTTTTGATTGTATGGCATATAATGAAATAATTCCAACTGCTGTGAAGTAGTTCGAGTTTGAGTTCAGCTTGTTTCCAATAAATCCTCAGGTTGTGATTAAACTACTAGGTTGTTATGATCTGATTTTCTCATTAGGTAAAGTAAAAAGAACAACATTATAAAAAAGGCATTCAATTCTGAATTCGGGTGTGAGCCTGTATTTGTGATTCGGGATTTACTCATGACTTTGCTGACTGTGGCGTTTTAGTTTTCACTGTGTGTAAAGAGGAGTTTGAAGCTACTTTTCCCCATGATAGATTGAACTACTGACAACAATTATTTACTAAATTCAGATGAGTAAAAATTACAGTAAGAAATCTCGAGATGGGTGCTGGGTGTCTACGTGTCTATACAGATATGGAATTCATAAAGAATGAGTTTCCAGATTACATATTTTCTCACAGCTAACAAAAACACTCTTCTGTGCCTTTTTTGTACAAAAACTACAAAATGCAAGTGACTTTAACTTTTAATGTGAAAGAATCTGTTTTCCTGGTTTTGATTATAGACAAAGTGACTCCTTGTTCACATGTAAAAAGAAAAATAATGTTTGAAGACTCGAATTGGCATTAGATCTACAAGTTTGAATCTTAAATGAATAACTGTCCCTGTCATTGTTTCTGTTATTTTAAAAAGTATATTACAGAGAAGTATAAATTTGTCATGTTGGAGCATGATCACAACACTCTAAGCTATTTAAACCAAATGCATCGCTGTCCAATATGAATTATCCTTGTAACCTGCTGTTGTTGTGCATTTCAGAACTCTCAAGTGATCTGATCTGAATGTAACCTTTTTTCAAATGAGATGTATACTTGATCTGTATGAATTATTTTATAATCATAGTTTATCAGCAGCTTTTATTTGTCTCCATTTCTTCTGTTCCACTTCTCCTTTTAATGGATCATTTAATACAGCATGTGCAGCAGTTTGATCAAATATCTAACATGGCCTCTGTGCTTCTTAATATACTCTCCTGTAATTTCTGAGCACGCTAACAGATACTGTCTCGGCCTCTGAACAACTGATGTCACTGATCTCTGATCTAGATTGATCCCACTCTGCATCATCAACTGAACAATTATACAACTCATTTTCTGAAAATATAATTATACCATAATTATAATTCTGTACACTGCTTCATCACATTTAACCATTCCATGCTAATGGGAAACAATACAATATGCCTGTCATAATTTTAAGTTTAGAAAGCTACTCCATTAAGATACATTAAAAAGTTATCTGTAAAATTGAATGGTTTCTGGTTTGTGGAGCTCTGGCCACCATCAGCAATCCATGTTTTTATGAAAAACATGTCTTGCTGTGTAGCTGTGAACTACTCCCCTTATTCCTTTGTGTAATGCATTACGGGAGTATAGCGTGCATTAAATAGCACACTTGAAAACCAATCATAATGCAGGTTGGTTTATTTTATTGGGAACACGTTACACACTCCATGAACTGGGACACAGCACTGACCTGTGTCTGCAGCCACATTGGTGACTAGCAAAACTATATCCTACTGCCTCTCAAAGTTCATATAATTATCAAGTATATTGAGATGAGGTGAAAACCTTGACACGCTGGAGGTGCTGCAAGGGGAAGCTCAGGGGAACATAACTGTCTGTATATACGATGGCTCAAGAGTACCATCCCTACAACCATGCCACTAACACATAAATGTATCACTAAGCAGTCAGCTTAGGGTAAATTTGATACATCAAATCAAATCAAATCAAATCAAAGTTTATTGTCACATGCACCAAATAACTTAGCGTCATCAGAGCAGTGAAATTCTTGTGACAAACACACTTCACACTGTCTCAAACACATTTCTGCTATCCATCCATCACTCAGAAGTGCAAACACTCTTCTGCTTTGTATTCAGTAATGAATCGTTCTGATTAAAACAACTAAATCTTCGTGTTGGTAAATTCACCCTCAACTCTTTTACTCTTTAAAACTAAACTCTGTCTCTGTCGGCATCTGTCAAAGATCATTTGCATGTGGGACATTTTCCTCCAGTTTCTCCATTTCATCTCCATCTTTCATTCAGCGCCTTGCTAACAATTCTAATTGATTAACCTTCTCTTTCGCTTTGCTCTCTCTTCCTCCCTGACCTGTCCCCTAAAGACAACACCTTTTAGAGTAGTATTGCACCTTTATTTTATTGCAGGAAAGCTAACAATGCACAAAGAAGAGATGTACAGAAAGACTGCTCTGTTCTTGGGCTCGGCGGGGGCGTTCACTTGGACTCAAAGATGAGTTGATTTTGGTGCCTTGAGGTCACAGTGACCTCACATCCCTGTGAATGTGACATATTAGGACTGCCTGTAGAGAATTTTATTACATCTGGTACACTTTGCTTGGAGTCACTGATTGACTGAGTGGATTTCTGTGGTCAAAGGTCTCTTGAATGTGATATCTCAAGACTGCTTGAGAGAATGTCTTCAACTTTTGATGAGTTGTCACTTTAAGGACTAAGATTTTCAGATAAAGTGGTTAAGTTTCAGTGGTCAAAGGTCACAGTGACCTTTTACGAATGTGGAAAAATATATGTACATGGAAACTGCACTGGTTGGCGGAGGCTTACTACAATGCAGTAATTCTAGTTAAATATGTGTATTTGTCGGCCGATATATTGGTATGGGACAATTTTTTATCAGCATTGGCTTCGGTGTCTAAAAATCCATAGCCATTAGGCTGTAGTTTATTTAGTTTTGATGGTCTAAATGTCTTTAATGTCAAGTTTATTCAGCCTACCTCCCACAGTCCAGAGACGTGCAGGCTGGGTTGATCTGAGCTGGTATATTTAAAGCATATATGATATGATTAGACATGACATATACTGGTTAAGGCTGTAACTGTCCCCTGTCCAGATTAGTGTGTGTTGTGTGTCTCTGGCTGTATCCTGTGGAGTCTGGCAGATGCTCCTCCTCCTTCTTGGCTGGTGGTGGAGACAAGCGTCCGGATTGGATCAGCATCAACCCCCAACCTCCAATCATGAAGAAGCACTTAAGGCTGGAGGTATAAATTGTGTCCAGCTGGTCAGTCTTGTTGGCTGTGTTCTCCTTATTGCTGTATTTATTGCTGTGTTTTGACTATGCTTGCTGTCATATACTTGTTTCTGTTGCGTTAGAGTCAGGCCTGACTACCATTATTTTTCTATGATCACTGACAGAGTTGTTTATTTGAGAATTGTATGTTGAGACATTAGGAGCCTTGTGCTATCTTCGGTTGTCTTTTGATATGAACCAGCTGTCTTGTTCGTGAGGAGGATTTATTTTCATTTTGGTTTGCATTAGGTTTGTTGTGCAGCTCTTGTTACAGTTTTTCTGAATTGCTAAAACACTAATTTCTGTTGTGTGAATCAATTGCTCAGTTGTCTAAACTCATTCACTGAATTGAGCATCATTTTGACAAAACCAAAAACTATCTTCACCTAGTAAAACACTATTTGCAGATCTCAGTCTTTCCTTTTGCAAAACTCCAAACACATTCTCATGCAATAAAACACAGTTGTCACTGTGATGCACTTGTGATGCATAATGGTAAAAACCAGTGGTAAAATATGAACACAAATGAAACACACGTGTCATCCATTGAACACAAGGATTCAAAATTGGTCACACTTGTTTCTCTTCATGTCATGACAACATGACAACCAATATAAGCCAGTTCAGAATTCAAGCAGGTTGGTCCTGCAAGCTCATGACAACAATAGATCAGAGACGCAGAGGACGAGTGTGTGTAAGAGGAGGTAGAGGCGGAGGACAAGAAGGAGGCAGAGGAAGAGGAGGAAGAGGAAGACGAAGAGTGGCAATTTCTGATGGTGGTACGGTAATATAACACTGTGCGCTGCTATAAGCAACCAGGGTGTTCTTCACCATCATGCCACTCTGGCCATATACTGTAACACCCAGCACCTTCTCACCTTTCTTGGTGGTCTTAGAGWTGTMTTGTCTGCAATGAACAGCAGGAACATGAGATGATTGAATGGCCTATTTATGTTACGTATAATTTGGGACAATTTAGTCCCAATTTAGTTAGTTTTCACCGCGCTGTCCAAGTCAGAGAATGGTTTGATATGAATCAGAATATCATTACAGTAACCTATACTTGCCACCGTACTCTCCCTTCCTCAATGCAATAGACAGCCCTACACCAGGCTCACAGTAATCTTATTGAGTCCATGGAACTAGCCTGTGATGACATTGGTGAGGAGACGTGTCAGGTCTGGGTACGGCACACTAGGGTTTTTTCCCCCTTTGCCTGGCAAGGGCAAATATAACGTGTGATGTGGATGAAGTGCTGTGGCCTGACTCAGCCCAAAGACAGGATGACGCTCAATGAAGCTCAATGATCAACTGTGTAAAGTACTTTATTGTGACCAATAAGCATTTCTCCATGAGCAACATGCCTTGACCACTGTGTTTTCAATTTTTTGGTGTAGTGTTTAATGACAGCTCAGCAGATTTTCTATTTTGACCGATTCGTGCAAGACCTGACAACATTGTTCAGTTTTGAGCACATGTAAAACTATTCTGAGGCGATGGTGTGGTTTTGCAAAAGGAATCAGAGGTTTTGTGAATGTAGTTTACAGTAAAGAGTTTTGTGTTTAGAATTCTGAGAAAAGGACAGGAGGATTCAAAAAACGTGTTTTAACAATTGTGAAAAACTGTAAGAGTCCTCTTTTTGTTCGATTTGTTTCTTTGGTTTGAAATAGTATCCACTGGCCTGTTTTTCTGCTAATTCACTACCTGTGCTGTGATCATTGTGATTTCATCCTGAAAGTGAGTTTGTGTTACCTCCTTTGTCATAGTGAGTCTCCGGGTCGTAACAATATGAAATGGTTCAGACAGAGACTTCCTAGATGAGCTTCACAGTTCTTACAGAGGCGCTGTTCTTATATCTAGCCTATACGTCTCCGTTATTGTGTTTTTATTGTTGACTATGTTGAATAGTTTGCGAGAAAGACGTATGACGATCAAGGGCCAACAAAATAACAGTGAAACATCCGCTCTGTAAAATAGTATAAAGCAACTGATGTCTCAATTGTCGTGAAGCAGAGTGGCGCAGCGGAAGCGTGCTGGGCCCATAACCCAGAGGTCGATGGATCGAAACCATCCTCTGCTATGTGTTTTGTGTTTTTTTTTATTCTTCGTTTGACTGTTTCTTACATGTGTGTTTTTTAAAGTTAACACAACATTAAGGCGACAGCGACATGTCTTCCGGTTTACAGACGTTTTCCAAACCACATAATATGTACTATTTTTTACTTCCTCACACTATCTGTCTTTTATTGGATGTATTAGTTTTACCTCAAAGTGTTTTCAAAGCATGATGGTGAGGAGATTTCAATACATGCAAATGATTTTCCTTAACAACCTACTACAACTATCTAACAAGCATTCACAGGAAATAGAAAAAGGGGTTTTCCTGGTCACACTCAAGCATGATGGCACCATCAAATGCTGTATCATTGCTTTAAATGCTTCTTTTACTCTCTCTTCTTATTAAACATTATGATGACATGATGTTACATTATCGGCACACTTCACAATAACAGTAGAATCATTTTCGTCCAGCCATTTTGTAGGCTCCCCCGAAGGTTATAGTGACACCTAGTGCTGTAATTTGCAAATTGCAACCAACTGAAAACCCCCTCCAGCAGAGAAAGGTTTTCTCATATTATGGCAAAACTACACATAATGCAAGAATAGCTCTTTAGATTGTTAAGGTTTACATTGTCCTATTATTCAGCAGGTGAAATTCCTCTGCTGATAAAACGTTATTTTATTGGTAAAACTTTTACTTGTTGCCTAAATCGTATTTTTGCAAAATGGGATTAAAA